CCTCTCTTTGAACGTTTACCCTCCAAACTGCGATCGACTTAGGATAATATGATAGGAACTCTATTTCAATAGCAGCTCCGATTCAAAGATTGAAATTTCGAGGAAGTAAGGAAGGTAGAAATTTTGACGAAGTAGGGAAGGTATGAAAGGAACTTTACTAAAATTATAATTGACTTGTTCTGCGATTAAACTTGCCATACGAAAGCTATTTTGAAGGGACTAATCGATATTTTATGTGACAATAGAAAAATCAAACACTCAAAGGATTGACACGATGAAAGGTGAGACATTCCCTCAATCATAAAGAAGTCGAACTCACTTGACATAAGACTCAATAAACATTGCCAAATTCGTCGGATTTGGCAGATGTTGGAAATACACGCGATACTGACGTACGATGTCTGGACTGCATTCATCCAAGCGACGTCCAAAGTGATGCCACATGAGATAATCAACTGTGAAGGTATTCATACCGGAGCCACGTAAATAGCGGAGGTTCATCTGGATTTGAACATACATCGAACGACTAACATGTTTTGGATAAAAAAGTATTATATTATTTCACGTAAACATCCAACTTTTGGAAAGAACTGAAAAAGATCATCTCGTTAGAAGTGCTTTCTAGATAGAAAGAAACTAACTGACTTTAGAAGCTATGTGTTGCTTCAAACAGAGCATTGCTATTCTGCACTTGTGCACTGTTACTATGGTACTTATGGTTAAATGTTGAGCATGTCAATGTGGCTACGGTGATCTAAGACAACAAAAAGCATATCCAGTCGATTACTCAGTCGATTTGCTCTTCTTCTACAGTTCTTTATAGACCAGCAAAATCATCTATTTACCCCGAACTACCAAACACTTCTGAGTTCGGCCGGAATTTCCCTTATGTTTTCCAAGTATATTTGTTTCTGAGAGGTTTTATGCAAAATGAAGCTACGGGCCCAGTTTATGGCAGTCCTAGAACGTGCTAGTACTAGCTTCAGTACGGATAATGATATGCTCGAAAACATCCCAGTTTCCTTGAAACTTTCGGATTTAATCGCACTGCGCCTTATGTTTTAGACCGCAGGCTTTTCCTTTCATACCATTTGGAAACTTCAACAATCATGAAACAACGCTCTGCGAGTAAGGACTGGCATGACGAGGACAAAGCAAGGTATATTATATGAGGATGTCTACACATCCTTATGATCTATAATTTGGAGATGCTCACCTCGAAAAAACCACAAATGTGGTGTCAGGAATGACTGATTTGTCAATGGCATTCATGGGTCTGCCACTTTGTCGGAATCATAAAAAGCTCTGTTTCCGCCAAGACTTGTGAATCGAACCCCTTAACNTAACTCAAGCGTCAACCTCGGACGACTTCATTCTGAATGAAGTGAACTCAGCAGCAGGAAGTAGGCATTCAAGAAAAGGTTGCCCTCTGAGAACTTTGATGTGGAAAAGGTTTTTGCGTTCAGCTGCCAGGAACAGCTGCAGCTCCGATCCCATATTAAAATCAACTTTGTGACAATTCAGTCGTATTACGGTTGAACCATTCAATTCAACCCCTCTCCCAATTCATGATGAATTTTCCATCGAAAAAGCTGACGATCTTCTCTTGTAACTATCGCATCCTTTCCAAATGCCTGGCGTCGAATTTCCAGCGAGCTCTGCTTATATTCAAGGAGTAGATGGCGATGTGAAATATCATTGTCCCACATGATGGGTTTAAAGTAGTTAAAAAATTGATACTTATGTAAGAAAATGTACAAGCTCTGACTTGAACAAATAAGTGAGAAAAGGAAATATTACCAAGTTGACCGATTTCCGTGAACCAGGAACCCACCTTTTGGTATGCCCACTCAATCCAGCCAGCAGTGTTCGCAACGCAATTTACAAGAATTAAGGCATCCAAACGTTTTTGATTCATGAGCTGAAAAACAAAAAATGAAAATGTGATTTCTATGAATTTTAAATGAACCAATCAAGCCTAATTTCACAACGGCTTTAATCATCCAATTTTTCACCGAAAACTGACGAAAGCATGAAAATTGCTAAGAGAGAGTTATTGATTATGGATTTAACCTCACTGACCCAATGCAAACATTTTTAGAAAGCCTTGAAATTGCCATTGTCAATGTTAACTTCCACCTTTCACCTTCCAAACTTAGACTGTCGAAACTTTCGAGAAAAAACTCTTCTTCAACTATGGTGAGATTAGATAAGAATTATTTCACTCTGATAGGAGGTCAAAGGTGATCTTTCAAACAATGACGCACTTTCGTGATCAGGAATATTTCATCAAACCATCCTCGTATCCTATAAATAACAATCAATAAACTGACCGCATATCTGAGCAGTACGTTCGCTCCAACACCGACACCAAAAGCAATCACAGATTGAAGCCTGCAAAACCAAAATCCACTCACTATCCCTAATCAAACTTGTCTGACTATACTTAATTAATCAGCAACACTTGGCGGGTAAGTCCAAGAACACAAACATAAAAAAGCATATAATCATGAATACCAATCTTAAGTATACGGAAGTACTCACTCATAGTAATCAACGACAGTTTCAACGATTTTAGCAAGACCATCCATAGACGGATAAATGAACCTGAATGCGACAGCCTCTTACTCGTTCCAATATGACTGACAATAGAAGAGAAGCCATCACTCACGTGTCTGGAAGAGGCTGAGCATCCACTTCCTGCCCAGGAGCATTGATATTGTATATGCAAAACTTTTCCGTAAACTCAGCTATGGAAACAAACTGGAAGAAGTTCTGGAAGTTGCTGTCAGCTGAAATGACGACACTTAACAAGGGTGCTTTTCAATGCCGACGTTAAATTACTCGAAATTAACGATTACTCGATGTTTGCTAAGAGATGCAAATTGAACTCACAGTCAAGAGCAAGGTCGTGAAATGTGATGAGAGGATGCTTGCTGCGATTTCCATAAATGGAAATTTTAACCTTTCCGTATGCAGTGTCAATACGTTCCTTAAGAAATTTATTCTTTACAATGTCAAAACAAAAGTATAATACAATTTTAGTAAATGAAAAATCAAATGCAGAGGGGATGACTGGATCAACGTAGTCAGAACATGTGAAAAGGCAAGATCAGAAATCCGGAAAACCCAGGAGCAAGGCATGGTAAGTCTCTATATTGGACAGTGGTTTACATGCCTCTTTCTGGATATTTCAGCGAATGGTTCGGGAAAAATAAGGAGGACAACAAATTAGAGATAAATTAGTGCATCTATCAACTAATTGTTCTCGGTAATGTACTGCCTTCGAGAGCAAACTGATGTAGCTGTCTTTGCATAAGTGAAAACTGGCACCTAGGCTACACATCTCTAACTCTAACACAAATTTGCGACCTTCGAAAAGACCTGTTACGGTGAAGCAAATGGTGAGGCTGTTGATTGGATCATGGGAAGAGACAGTTAAAGGTGAGATTAGGTGGTGGTTGAACGTGTTATAGCGAAGGAGATGCATACGTTTTCAGAACCGCCACAAAACTCTTTCCTAACAACTCTTCCTATCCTGCTATATTTTCTTCTTATCGCGTAACAACGTTAAAAAGGAATAAGAAAGAAGGAAGAGAATAGTGGTCAAAAATTGTAAGTAAATCAAAAATTGTAAGAGGCGATATGGGGTGATCACCAGCCGCAAGCCTGGTCGTCTAGTCAAATGAACACCTTTGGCCTGGGCCTCTTTAACTGTATCAACGCAGAACTAGCTTAAAAATTTCCACTCAGCTCCTTCAGAAAGCACTTCTCTTGCTCTTTCGAGAATGCGTTATTCATCCATGGTTGCATGTGCGCTTAGAGAATTTAATACTAGAAAATTTGAAACTCATCATAAACAAATAAACGAACCTCCACTAAGTCTGGAAGCTGACTATCCATGAGCGCATCGCGAGCATAAGTATGCATTTCCATTGAAGCCATAATTAACCTCTAAACAACAAAGAATATTTGTTTTGAGAAAAGAATATTGACAACATGGTGTCATAAAACATTCCGAAAGACAAGTGGTGTTTGCATAAGCAAACAGAACAGGGTAATCCCCAGAATGGGAGATCGGTCAGGGTAAATAAGGATCCTATTCGGCACAATATTACAAACCTCAAAAAGACACAAGAATTCTAATCTCTCTGACATAAAAGAATCAGAGGAATTTCCACAACTAAAGCTGCTTATGAAACTACATCTTATTGCGAAATGTATAATCGGGCATTACACGGTGGGAGCCTCATCGAAATGGGAAGCTCTTTTCAATAAATTCTTTTCACAAGCGAAATCAAGAATTCATAGGCAAATAGCGTGTTTAGAGAGGGCTATAATTTAATGCTTCCAAGTCTTGCTGGTTCCTTCTGCAGCAAATTTCTCAACCTTCCCCAAATTGTCGCTCCATGACTTTACAATGATTCGTAGCTATTTTCCAACTCGAATATCATTAACAACCCCACCCCTGTAGTTTGTAATCGAAAATAATACCTAATAACCATAATCGAAAAATTCAGGCTAGCCGTTTGTACTAGAACAACTCTAATTCATATGACACTTCCGTTGTCATTGTTTCAATACCCAGTGTGCACTTACAATGCAAACTAAATGCGCCCGTTCACAGAAAGAGTTCTGATTCAGTAAAAGTCACACTTTTTGATGGGTTGTAGGTTGATACCTTAGACACCTAACACGTTCAAAATAGATGATGGTTATAAAATCTGTTTCATAAAAAGTCAAATTCAAAATTAAAGTGAAAGCTTGCCGACGAAACTAAGCGCAGCATTGATTGGGCAACATTTTGTTTGTTTTAACGGCTATGGTAGGTGTAAGCGCGAGACTGAAATCACGGACAACACGAGCGGTACGAGCAAAGGTAAATGACGGCACCTTCCATCCAACACTTGTAGAAATTTTGGATAAAAAGATTGCTTATTTAACATATAGAATAGATCAGTACACTCTGCATGGAATTGGTTAGGAAACAAAATTACTCAAAAGACTGATTCTAAAAAGTCCTATAGTGAAAGCAAAAGCTTCCGATCAAAAATCGTTCTCTGGCCATGATCGACTAGCAACAACCATATGATGGCAGGAGATGCTAGGGCTAAGGAAGGAAACGAAGACTCAACATGGGAATCTGGTTCGTACCCTAATCCCCCGTGGGACCCGACTAGAGCGACACTTCGTGATGCCCCCGTGGCTACTCGGGTGACGGAACTTCTCCCCGAATTCCCACGGCAAGCGGCAGTGGGCGCGCGTCGGCTGCCCTATCCTTCCACTGAAAATTCAAATCTTTCCCTTCATTGCGCGCGAATGAGCGGGTGCGACGTCGTTTTCGGGGAGAAGATACCTGACCCGTAGCTACTCCACCCCGTGTCCATGCCCAAGGTCCCCTTCGATGCGTCGTATATGTGAAAGGAGGAAATGACTGATCTATCTTCGGCTGAGCTGTAGGTGAACTAGATATGGCCGCTAACGATTCCTAAAACTCGGCATTTGACTTATTTTGGCATCTGTTGGCGATTTAAGGGACTCTGCTTAACTGAGAAATAATGGTTAAAACTGTGAGCTCTCGATTTTCCCACCTGCTGAGGAAAGTGTTCTATAGAGTTTGTACAAATAAAAATATTAGATATGAGGTCCCTAATCAAACGAAAAGTACAAATTGTCGGACATAATTTCAGACTTCTTGAGAAAATTAAGAAAAGAAAATATTATTATTTGAATCTCTCTGTTTTCTTGGAGATACTAGCCTATTTCCTCTGCGGCTTGAGATTTTCTCTCCAACAGCTGTTTTGTTCTTTTAGGACCAAAGCAAAAGGTAAAATTTCACTTTTAAATTTGATAAACTGAAATAAATCAATAGCTTTCTGGGTTTAATGCGAAATGCTCCGACATACAAGGACCTTTTTAAGGAAGAGCAACCTTTACTGGTTTCAAAAATGGTTTCAATTCAGAAGTATTAGTTGAGACATAGAGGATGGAATGTCGATTGCCAGCGCTGGGGGAAGGCGTGCCAGCCGTCGTTCGTTTAGTCGAATGACTCATCTGTTTCTCAAAAGCAATCAAACTGCAAACTGCATCTTTGGTCGGATGTGACAGCGTTCTGCAGCGATTTTGTTCAAAGGAAGCAGCTAATGGTGGGGAACGGACCGGAAGAGTGAGCGAGGGATCCAGTGGAGCTCTTATTTTACGCAGCCTTAATCAACTATCAATGAGTGCAAATGGGAGGGGGCGAAGGAGACTGTAATTAACTGTAACTTCCAGGTACTCTTTTTAGTTTAAGAATAGGAAGTGTTGGTGGAAAATAGTGCATCGGTTGAAAGCAAAGTGACATATCCTCAAAATTTGCGAAACGTAGGGTTTGTTTAAAACAGTGGAATAGGGGGTTGTACGAGATTTCCATGATAAAAATGGAAGAAGTATTCGGACGAGATTGCAACCGCTTGCAATTACGTGCAGAGCTGGCTGGAGTAACCCTAAAATTGCCTTCCAGTGTTGCCATGGATTATGAGGGTCATGAATATTCATTCGGATATTCAACTTATGTGCTCCATTTTGAATGGTGCAGCTTTTACAACGCTGTTAAAACACGTCCGCCTCATGAGTTCGTCTCAGTTGAAAATTTCGAAGACCATTTTTATCGTGAACCGTGCTCTCGGGGAAGGGAATCACTGAGTTGAAATTTGAAGCTAATTAGTTCAGCATGATACAAGTTAGTCGATTTCTCTACCAAAAGCACAAGTGATAGATAAAAAACATTGCAATTCGGCCACCCATGTGACAACCCTCCCGAACAATCACGTTTCGCAAACAATGAAGGGCAGCCGTCCCACAATGAGTTCAAAATGATGAAAGTGATTTTCGATGACTGCACTTGTTCAGATTTCGAGGTAAAAACGGTTCTAACGGGCCCTATTTACCCCACCCCATTTCACTAATCCAGTTACCAAATTGCTTAAAAGGTTACTTCGTTGTGAGCAAAACTTGTGAGACTTTCGCATTGAGGACTGCTGCAGAAAAACGCCAATCCGAGCAAAATGCAAATTTTGTGTATGTTAGAATGCTAGGAATTATTCATTTTTGGCAGGTCTGGGACGTCTAGATTATTGAGGCAACCTCATGAAAAAAGGGTTTCGATATTCATCTAGGCTTAAAAAATCGATACTTTCTTTTTCACCCTGAGAACATTTGAATGTATGCAAATTTTGCAGAATTTTCACATCGATCAGTCGATTTTTATTCAAATGCTGTTATGCGAGAGAAATTCGGCAGCGATTCTGTAACAATGTTCTCAGAATGTCATTGCTCATACATGGTTCATGGGATAGACCCATGCAACTATTCCATTTTAAAGATCGTTAGGGAACCATCCAGAATTTGTGAAGTACTCGAATTTAAATTGAGCGTGAGTGTGGAACTCAGATGAGTTCCACACTCACGCTCAATTGAAATTCGAGTACTTCACAAATTTAAATCACAGTTTAAATTTGTGAAGTACTTGCACAGGCTTAGTGTGGTGTCCTTAGGGTCCGGGAACTTCTCCCCTAACACGGCGTCGCATACGCCGCACCCGCCGGGGGTGTATGTCGTTTGGCGCGATGGGCGGGGTCGCGCCGCCCATTTGAGGCGGCGCGACTCCGCCCATCGCGCCGTTCAACTCGTTCAGATCGCGTAATCTTCCGCTCTCCTCTCCTCTATAGATGATAGAAGCCCAATCCATCATCTATAGAGGAGAAGAGAGCAGAAGATTACGCGATCTGAACGAGTTGAACGGCGCGATGGG